AAGATTACTTAGATAAATTCTGAGGGCCCATATGATTGAAGTGTGAGGCAAATTTGGGGGGGGGGGGGCGAACTATTAAAGAGGGATACTAATTGTTCAGCGGGGTAGGGGGGGACCCCCTATCATTGAAAAGGGTGCAACATTACTAGAGTATCCTGTTCCCGTAGTCCTTCAGAATTGCCCACAGCTCCGCTACCGCTTGCGCCACTTGTGGGTGCACGACGAAGCAGGCGCCAATAAATGCCAGCCTCGGTGAAGAATAAGGTCCCTTTGGAGCGAGTGTGTAGAGGATAAACGGGAAACGGCTGGGGAATGGAAAAAACATGCGGAGCTACCTACACTTTAGGGATGTAGGGGCCTGTCATCAGAATAGTGGAGAATTAGTTGATGGAAACAGGATGCGCTGACATAAAAACTGAGATTAACATGCATTGTACGTAAGGGGTTACTTGATCCGAATAATGCCTTGGGACATCAACATTATCAAAATTATACTATGGCTATAATGTAAGTGTATATCATTCCGAAATGTTCAGGCTTCCTACAAGCTAGATCAACTTCCTGACCGGGGTATTTGTCCAGGTGAACCAATAAAAACCACCAAAATTCCCTTCACCTCGACACGTCATGCAAAGCAGTATTCAAAATCTGACTTTGATGCGGCGGAGCCACAGGATCTCCGAAGATTCTGCATCTAGCCAGAGTAGCTGCGTGTATGCTTCAACCAGGGTTCCAGCCTTGTCTCAGGACTAGTAATACCGCAAAAGAGTTTCTGTCTGACTGGTGCTGCTTGAGAACACGTCCTATGCCACGCATGAGCAAACCAAGCGCGGTTGAGGAGCAAGTTCAGCCCAGCGTTGAAGCAATCGTCCTTCGGCCATCTCCAGAGACACCTGCGAGCAGGATGTGGAAGGACAAAGCACGCCATCATCAATCACCGGCTGCGTCTTACAGATAGCGCTCGCAATCTGCCCAACCTGCTGTTGGGCCGCAGTCTGCAGTGTGGGCAGGAGAGCCTTCATCCTCGCAGCAGTACGGCTACTTCATAAGCCGTAGAATCGGGAAAGGCAAGGGGGATGATGTTCCTGTCTCTGCTGTCCTGTACCTACCTGAAGCTTAAGGTTTCTGCTGGTGAACTCTTTGTGCTGCCCAGCATCGCTCTGGTGACCGCGCCAAGCAAGCCTGAAATGATGGGGAAGCCTTATCTTGATAGATGCCCACATAAAAGCTATTGTGGCCTGACTGTTCTGAGCTCCCGATGAACTAAATCTCCTAAATCTAAACTAATTTTGGGGGTCCAGATTTGGGATGCAAGAGTACATTGGAGCAGTTCGGCTTTTGCAGCCTAACCCTCTCTAGATTTCAGATCGTTTTCTAGGCTCATAATCAACAGGAAGGTTTTGCTTGATCAGGAGCTCACATAGAATAGTTTAAGCTTGAGGTAATTTTTGTCTGCTCTTAGAGTCCAAATAGGGGTGCATTCTGAGCCCCGAGTTGCTTCCTGAAACCGTTTTATTAGAGATCACGCGAAACTACCGAACCTGGAATCTGTTGTCCATTACTACCTAAATAAGGTGACCCCAATAAATGACCCAACATATTCTAATCCTTAATCTTGGGACCCGCAATAAGGTACCTTCAATGTGTGGTTTTCCATAAGTAGGAAAAGAGATCAGAAGGGGTAGCTCAGGAAGGCAGGTTTCAACCATGAATTCCTCACAAAATGCTGGGTTGCAAAAATTACGGCTACCTTTTTGGGGACCCCTGAGTTCAGGAAACTAAAAGGTTTGGCAAGCAAATCGGGTTTCAGAATCAGCTTTCCTATTTTCATTTGAAGACCGGGCAAGTAATGGGGCCCATCCCCCAGAATGAGAATCGGAAAGCTGAGTCGGAGACCCCTAAGATGCTTTCGTAAGTGTCCATTCATGGCTGACTTAGTAGCCAGGAGCTCAGACTAGAGGACGGAGGAAGGCAAATTTCCGGAGGTTCCATGGTTGAAGCCACAAGATACCATCCTGCAGCTTGAAGGTAGTTCCCAAAATTAGGGACCCATTTGGTACCCCCAAATATTAAGGTGCCCTAATGGAACCTATAACCAACATGGCCCATAATTTTGAGAACAACCCTTCAAGCAGGCCTTTGTGAGGGCTACGCCTTGAACCTTCAATCCACACCAGGCCCATACATCCGAAGCTTCAAGAAAGCGTCCGAGAGCGCCATTGGCACAAAGCTCCATGGTCAACACCTTTTTTTTGTGGGCATCTCTCAAGATTCCAAACATATGGTAGTTTCCCTAAATAGGGGGACCCCAATATAGACCACTATCCTTATTATAAGCCCCCCCCCAAAAAGGTACCCCTGATTTTGGGAAGCTCCTATATCTGGGATCCTTAATGTACGGCACCAGCCCTGAAGCCCTGAACGTGTTCAAGGAGCCTTCCAGGGCCGGCGCAGGCCTCTGCGCCTTGGTTTTTCTAAAGGCTACAATGGGTCCAGGGTTTAGGGTTTAGGGTGGTTTAGGGTGGTTTAGGGTGGTTTAAGGGTTTAGGGTTTAGGCTAGGGTTTACGGTGGTTTAGGGTTTAGGGTGGTTTAGGGTTTAGGTTTTAGGGGTTACTGTACTATATTAGGGTATATACTGGGATAATGGAAAAGAAAATGGAAACTACAATATTACATTGAGGATGTATTGGTTTTTGGGGTTGGGGGAATGTTCGGGTTATACTGCGGTAATATTGGGATAATGGAAAAGAAAATAGAAACTACAATAGGGTTTAGGGATTTGGCTTGAGGTTCTTGTTTCTTGGATTTGGGGTTCAGCTGTTTTGCACTTTGGGGATCATACAGATGGGACTCGAATTGGGTGTTGAGGCTTGTATCGCAAAGTTGTACCAAGACTATGAGAGAACAACACCTGTGTCTGTTCGCCCGCCTTGACCTGAAGAGCTTGGGACGAGACGGGCTCCTAGTGAAAACAACGAATTCAGGATGGAGACTGCAAGGCCAGCGCAGGAGGAGTGATAAGCATGAAGAAATCTTGGAAGTACTCTTAGCGGCCCCGGTAATTTGTAGCCAAGTATTCCTCCCTATGAGAAGCGAGAATTTTGATAAATGATTGCAAATGAAAGCCCAGTGGCTGGCTCGTAGATCATGAAGGCACCAGGCGAGCGGCGAAGGACTTCAATTACCTGAGCCACCAAGTGAGGCCGACTGGGCTTGTGAAACCATCCCACGCATTGAGCCCCAAATTCTGAAGTAGGACTTCCAAAATCTTCCAAATTCTCCAATCCCCAAATTTGACCATCTGGCTTGGACATGCTTCACATTGCTTCACCAACTACCAAGGAAGTAGTTAGCACGCAGAATCTGCAAGCCACCGCTGGCAGCTGGCTATGTGCCCTCACCATCTGAGCTATAGTCCAAACTCCGAGAATCCCCCTTAATAGCCCGTATAACATTCACCTATATAACCCCCTTTAACGAGTTTGGACTACAGCTCATCTAGAGCTTTCAGGGAAGCTGCAACATCCAGAACGACTTCGAAACTGCCCGCAGGACCACCTGAGCTCACCATGTTCCAAACATCAAATGCTGAAAAGGCTTACAGTGAGACCAGGCAAGCATGGCTGCAGCAAAACTCGGTTGCTTCAGCTACACGTGTCAACGATGTCTGTTGCTTTAAGCCTTCGCAACTGGGGAACGCTTGCCTGAACACAGCAGAGAATGCGGCCTCTCTGGAAACCAGAAGCTGGGAAAACACGTCCACTGGCTCTGCAGAATTCCAGCCAGCACCTTTTAAAGCTTCTCATGTAAAGTACATTTCAATTTGCGCCAAGCCTCTCCCGTTTCCCATAATTAGTTTATGTTTGTAGGTGACTTGCGAAGCCAAGTTTCCAAGAAGCCCGGTCAGGTGGCTGGCAAAGCCAGGATGCTCCAGAAGCTGCAAACCCATTACCTGCAAATTGCAGGGAGGGACCCGTGTACTTATGCTTAATTTCGTTCTGCTCAGGAAGGCCTCCAATCCAGACGTTTTGCCGGGGTAGTGAAACTTGCAGCAATCAGGACAACTCTCGTTCTAGCCTATGTAGCAGACTTGTAACCCCGCTTATACATAACAATGAATTCTCAAGCGCTGTTGGCTCGAAAAGTTTTTTTTTTTTTTAAATCTGGCATGCACATTACCGAACCCCCGAAGCGACCTTCACAAGTTTTGAGGGATGTGGCGTGGCACACGTGGCACTTGCAATGGCACGAAAGCCAGCCAGAAGCATCGAACCAGTCTCCAATTCGGTTGCGCACTGGGCTTCAAGTACAGAGATGCTGACTGCTGCGTGGACTCTTGTAAACTCATCACGGGACCCATCGTTTGTAACATACAGGCGTCTGCGCCTTGGACCACTGCGTCAAGGTCTGCAACGCAAGCCTCGAATCTTGGCCAAGATGGCTTCTTCCAAGAAGTCTTGTCAAAACAGGCAGGTACCATCGTACTTCAGCTTGGGGCCTGTGATAGACAATCTAAGAACCCTTTTAGGCGGCTCTTTGTGCATGGCAAGTATGACAGGAAAATAGGTGAACATGTCCACATGAGCCCCCACGCATAAGCATGCTCTGCGATGATTCACATCAGACAGGCGGCGAGAAGTCTGGGTCTGCAAGCGTGCCTGTTGGAGCCTGAACATCTTTCTTGGGGACTAGCAATCCCCTCCCCCTCATATGGGAATATGCAATATTAGGGGGGAGGGTTTCATATTAGGGGGAGGGGATTACTGGCTTTCAATTGCAACCCCTTCATCTCTGAAAGTTCCTCATGAAGCCTGGGGGATTTGCACTCGGATGCACTGGGCTGCCTCATCAGAAGTCGGCTGGTATCTCACCGCCATCTCTAGCATTGCATGGGAGTGACTGAGGAGAGCCAATGCCCGAGCCTCGGTATCCATACCACACAACACTTGTTGAGGTGCTCGTTAGTGTGCTGTCCAAGGAGCATCGGCCTTGAGATATTTATGAACAACCTCCAAGGAGGAAGCAAGGAATGCAACGAGGACTTTCTGAATCCAAGACATGTTTTTGTGCAGTTCCCACCTCTGACAACTGCTCTGGGATGATGACCTGGAGGCAGGCTGATTACTACCACCCCTCAGCTGCTGAAGGCTGTGCTAGCGTCACTAGAGGAAGGCAGGACAAGCACAACTATGCCGCATCTCATGCCTGGCAAGAACGAGACCGCCTACAATGTATCTTGGATAGGCTTTGCCACATCATCGCTGCCAATACGGCTGCTACAAACCCTTTTGCATCTGGGCTCGCGCAAAACCCAGAAAGAGCTCCTACAAACCCTAAACCCATTTCTGACACCCTGAACTACACCTGCTACCCCAACAGCTTTTGCCGGTTTCTGTGAGCACCATGGAACGATCTGGCTCGGCTTCGGACCAGCGTGCCCCAAGCAATCTTTGGCTGGCGCTCAGCCAGTGCGAGCAGGTCTGCCACGCCACTCTTCCTCAGGACATCCCTTCAGAACATCCCTAGTGTGTATGGGGCTGGTGTCTAGGACATTCTGAAATTTTGCATTGAGCAAAACCTGATCGGTCACCATTTTGAATTCTTCTTCAGTGCCACTATGTCCTTCATCCGAAGCCTCGCCCAAAGGCCGAATAACGGCTAAAGGACCTCTCAGGCTCGGCCGCTACAAGCTGCTGGAAAATAACACCTGGATGTGACGTACAATGCCACACGACAATATGAACCTTGCCAACCACGGTGACGCGCATTCAAAGCTAGCTGGAACTTCCAAGGCTCCAAGTGGTGGTGCACAGGGCGACCAAAATAGCAGCCAGCGCCACAACCTTGGCCAAATATCACAGTTTAAACTGACCTTCATCTCTCGACACGTAGGGATGAAGAAGTGGTGTGGCCCACACAGGTGCTACACCAGTTTATCTCCAAGTTACAAGCTGCTGCTTGGAAGGTCTGGCTGCGGCATCGGATTCCAGGTGCTGTAGCAACACTGGTACCCACTCCTTC